CGGTGGCAACCCCCCTCCACGTCCTCCCCCAACCTGCCAACGATACTGCGGATGGACAAACTCCTGCACCCCGTGTTTTTAGAGTTGCATCTCTCCCAACTGGTGTAATGTTATCTATCCACAATAGGTGTCCTTTTTAAGGCAAGTTTGCTTGAGCTTCTAGAAATTCCACCGGTTTCAGCTTGGGTTGGGTCTTCTTCCTGCGGAATCCATCGATTTGTCCGAAAGACCATTGTAGGCTTGCAACCTTAGAGTTCGCACGCCCCGAGTGGGATTTGATCCAACAGCTTCGGATTTGGACCGGAGACCGCCGGAAAACCGAGCTCCGGCCTGCCGGCCCACTTCCGGGCCTCGGATCGGGAGAAACCGAAACGGCAGGTGCCCTTCTGGCTAGCCAACTAAAAGTGGGGTGTTCCGTCAAAAAGACACGAAATTGCATGAGTCGGTAAATTCAAGTAGAGGGTTTTGCGCCCGTTGAGAAGTTGGGAGGGAAGAGACCCCAAACCTGATGCGGCAAGATCGGGCAATGTCGTGACCATTGGCTACAAAGCGGCGGGTAGTACACAAACTCACAGCCAATGCTTATCTCCATTCTCAGTATGGGCCGGTTGTCTCCCATGTTGGTTTGCTTGGAACAAAAAGATAGTCTTAGGACACCCCAGCCATCTTTGCTTTTGCTTTTGGCAAAGGACCCAAGACTCCCCCAGCGAGGTGAGACGCTTTTGACCCTCAGCTTTGCTTTCCAAACGTCAAAGACAAACCCCGGAGATCGAGGAGTGGAGTGCGAAGTGGCGCAATGCGCCATTGACCTGAGTAGCGACCAACTCAAAAAGCACCGGTTTGGACCGTTTTGCAAGCAAGCAGCGGTGGCGTTCGTAATGTGCTCCAAACGAGGGGCGGAGAAAACTCCGGCCCTGCGCGCGACCACGTCTGGTTTCCCCCACGGGCCCTGGGGATGAATGGCCCAAAGGTTCCCCGAAGGACTCGCTTTTGCACAGTGACTTGCTTGAGGGTGAGCATGTACTATGTGGGAAGACTATCCATCAGGGATCCTTACATACACCTGAACATTGCCTTGTAAATGGTGGTGTCCCTTTACTTTGGTGTTGAAAAAGCCACATGTTTAAAATGGTTGCAAAATGGAGATCTTTTAAGGAGCCCTGTCCATAAAAGATGCCTTCACGGGCCTGGCGCATTCAAATGGCGATGGTCAAAAGCCTAGCTGGCCGGCAAGCTCCGGACCAAAGCCAGCAAGCATTTCGATAGAATAGTCAATGCAAGACTGGCAAACCGCTTTTGGGATCTGTATTTGGGGGTCCTGCGCATTCTTTTCAGGCAGTAAGCATCAGGGCAGGCAACAGTCCGTGCATCATCCAATTGCTCCACAATTCCATGCATCGCCTTTGTGTTGGGGCTGTAGCTGTTTTTTTCTCGGTGATCACCATGAAAGGGTCCCTTGCATGAGGTTCGCTAGCCATATGCTGATCACACGAAACACAGCAGAAGAGTCAGCGTGCAGCTCAACCGCAGCAAGCTTCAGCGCGTTTCTTAAAGTCTTTATGGGTTTGCAATGAGGTAACCTCTTTCCAGTCATGAAAGTTGACGCAAGCCTTTCTCAAAGCGACATGTCGTCTTGTGAAATGCCTCTCTGGGCAGGCAATGAGGTCTTGTATCCAAACGACAACCATTCCTTGAACTTGGGCCCCACACCATAAGGATCCCAAGGTAACAAGGGGGTCAATTTCAAGGCGAAGAAACAGGGCCCCCGAAGCAGCCCGTCCCAGCCAGTGGCCAGCTCTAGCCTCCGGGCAAACGCGTAGGAGGTGCTGCCTGCAAGAAGCGCCCATTCCGTTTTGGCTGCCTTCCGGGGAATTCATGTATGGCTATCTTGCCAAATTGCACCCACGGGGGAGTGCTTCAGCCTTTTGTTTTTGCTTCCAACACGTACTTATCCGCTCCTCGAATGGTGTGCCGAGACACAACCTATAAACATACTTGTCGAAAGCTTTGCAGACAAGCGTCAGGTAATTTTGGGATCGGTTGATTCAAATGCACTGTTGGACTCGCAGCCGCGGCGGCTGAATCCCACTTGAACACAGCGTTACGTAAACTGTGGGAGCTCACAAACAACGCCAGAACCCTCATGCAGCCGGGTCAGAAAACACAACAATATCCCCGCCCAGCATCTCTGGCAAGTATTCTGGGAGGTAGTTCATGCTTCCGCGGTGCTCCTGGAAATGTCAATTGAGCATTGTTCTTTTAGAGGTTCGGGGCTTATACAATGAAGGGGAGGCCCCGCCGGGGGTCTCCGCGGGGCCAGAATCAGTGGATTGGCTGGCTTCGCGAGGGTTTGCGGTAAGACGGTGGCTTCGCGGTTAATTTCCTAACGCGCTTCTGATGTTTCGTTCTTGTTTAGTTGAATCTGCGCAAGAGGGAGTTATCGTGGTTTGTCGCGAAATCGGGCCTGAAACACACAGCTTGAGAGAATTGAGAAATGGAAACACCACTCCAGCGCAAGCCATTCTATCACAAGACTTTCTCAAAGTGACTCTACACATCGACCTTTGGCATGCAACTACCATGAAAGCCCAGAAAACACCATAACCCTGTGTCAATCTTGCTGCGCTACGCAAGAGGCTTCGCGGGGCTCGGCGGCACACAATATATCACAAGTGCCTTTGCAAACCTTTTTGGGAGTTCCCCCGAAGCTTAACATCCTTCCTCCGCAAAAGCACGCTACTCAACCTGTAGATCCCTAACATACATTACGTCGGATTGAAGACGTACTTTCTGCTTGCTGTCCTTTGCATGCAGCTGAATCATGCACCAACAGGCGTTGGCCCAGCTCCAACTGGGTCTGGAAGTGCTTTCGGCCACTCCTTTTGGCAACTTCCCATGGAACAAACGCGTTGACAACCTGACACTGCGATGACGAAAACACACGGACCACTTGGAAGGACAAAAGATCAAGCCGCTCCGCCTACCCAGGCATCGAAGAGCAGTTGGACTAGCCTCAACGCAGAGAGGCGACCCTGGAGGGTGTTGCCTTTCTGTTTCGGAGGGTGTTGCCTTTCTGTTTGCCACTGTAAATAGGTGACCCAGAATTTTTACCTGTGGGTTGGGTGAAGAAGGCTTCCCATGATTGCCATACTGGAAGCCAAAGGAAAACATGTGAGAACCAAAGGGAGCTGATGACCGACAAAAGTTGCCCTTGACCCTCTGGGAGAGAGAAATCCAACGCACAGAGGAGGTATCTCCATTTTGGGGGGCACACCTCAAGCACAGCCACCCCCAAATTTGCTCTCAATAGGCCAGGAACCCGCCCGGAGCCAAGCCTGAGCCAACCTGGAACCCACCCTAAACCCAACCTAAACCAAAGCCTGGTGATGCTGAGGATGTTGAAAGCGATACTGAGGATGTTAAAACGATGCCGGGCCTCAACCTGCCCCAAACGGACTACCCCAAACCTACCCTAAACCCACCCTGAACCCATCCCAAACCTTCGTCGTACCGAGGCGCCAACCAACCAACCAACCGACCAACCAACCAACCAACAGCCAACCAACAGCCAGCCAGCCAGCCAGCCAGCCAGCCAGCCAGCCAGCCAGCCAGCCAGCCAACCAACCAACCAACCAACCAACCACCTGCCAGGGTGCCAGGGCTAGGCCAAAGAAAAAGAGACACCCTTTCCTCCAAAGCCATGGGTGACAAAAGCTCCCCAAGGCATCTTCCGGGCAACGGTGTTAAACAGAACCTCACTTCGGGATGCCCCATAGGCACCCTATCCATCTTCGAATTCGGACTCACCATCTGCTAGATTTGGCCGAACCTCACATGTGCATGAAGCACGCCGCTGAGCGGGTTGGATTCTTACTGTTGACATATTCACAACGATCCCGACGATCGCGTCGTGAAAAAGAGAGATAAGAGTGCGAGAGAGAAACAAAGAAACAGATAAATAAGTGAAACAGCAAGAGCGAGCGTCCAAGCACGAGAAGACAAGGTGGGCCAGCATTGCGCCATAGGAGCCCGCAGAGAGAGAGAGAGAGAGAGAGAGCGAGAGAGAGAGAGAGAGAGAGAGCGAGGAAGGCGTCATGACATGATGAGCAAGACTGGTCAAACAGCCGGGATGGTTGGTGATCATGACAGCTTGGCAAAGCTAGCACGTTTGTGTCCTGCACAGTGAGCATAGAACCGGGTCCCAAGCAGAAATCGCTCTAAATATGGCAGTGGCTTTGCGGGTTCTTGATTGTGAGGAACCTGTACATAAACATGGGGTTATTCAGGGGACCCTAAACGGGTTCCAATGACGCGTTCCAGCTTGCACTCAATGTGTAGCATGCAAAAGGAACCCATTTGTTGGATCCCATTTGAGGTTAAGCTAAGTATTTTGCACACGAGCAAAACCAGCCGGCTCTGTCGACTTTGCAGCATCATATGGCGGCGATCCAAGATGTCAGCCCTGAGGCAAGGGGCTAACAAGATGTTGCTTTGTTTTTTTGGCTTAAGGGCACCCCTTTTTGGATTGGTTTAAAGGGGCAAGCAAAGGACCACCAATGTGTTGGACCCCTGATTTGACACATACCAGCTCCAGACAGTTTGAAGCCGTGGGCGACAAAAACGGCACGAACGGAATGAACAAAACCTCATGGACCAATCGCTTGTGACTTATCAAAACTCGGTTGGACCCCTTCCAAGGACCTGCAGAGTGGTCTCTGCCGTGCCAGCGCCATTCCAAGGACGGCACCCCATCGGAGCAAGTGCACTTGCTGGGCTTCACGGAATTATCAGCAGATCTGCGCAGACTTGGACCCTGGGTTCAGAAGTCTGCCACAAACTCATGATACGAATTGGAGCTCCAAGTATCTGCATGCGCGCTCCTTCTACCAGAGCTCGCAGTAAAGTGGGCCAAAGGGATCCTTGAAGTCAGCAAGCTACGTGCCTCCGAGTTACCATGCTAGAAAACCGCATAATTTTCGCTTGTGCTTTGGTGGGTCACGAAGATCTCATAGCTTGCCAGGGTCGAATGCTTCCGATGGCATCTGTAAGTCGCTGGAGCCATTGCGCGGATCGTAGACTTGGAAGGCAAATGTGCACACGATGTGCACACGGGGGTTGACCAATATTCCCTTCGGCCCCCAGGTTTGACCTTACCTAACTTTTCCCATGTGGAAAAATACAAAATATGTTTAGTGGTTTTCCAACCAATGGTCATCCTATGTATCATGGACCTTTTGATCAACCCCCATATGCTCTTGTTGGGGTAGGCGCCTGCTGGAACCATAGTTCACCATGAGAACCAGATCAGACCCATCCCCGCGGTGGACGCTTCTTGGGTATAAAAGGATTACACAACTCCCCAGTTTAGTCCTCTGTACTTGCATCTACCGGGAATAACCTTCACCCTCGTAAAAAACTAAGTCCAAAAGGGTCCTACCTTCCACGCGGGCTACCCTGAAACTGAGTGCTTCCCCTCTGGAGCCAAAACAGCCCATGGCCCGAGAGAAAAATCCGCCGCTTTTTGAAACTCCGTGCTCGGCTGCAAGCATCTTTGCACCTGTGCACTGGGGGCGCCAGATTTGACGGCTGGAAAATTGGTTTAGTTCCATTGGGATCGGTCCTTGGAGCCACGAAGCTCCAAACTCGTTTGCTTCCGTGGTTTTGCTTGCTTGTTACACCCACATTCAAAACACATGGGTCTCTCACTTGCCTTTAGTGCACCTCAAGTGGCAGCATGTTGGAAGCAGGCCGATGAAAGGTCGACCTTTGAAGGGGTAATCCGGTAGCTGCTGCAAATATATATATATATATATATATATATATATATTTATATATGAATACATATATACCACATATATATATATATACACATAAATATATATATATATAATATATATATATATATATTTATGTGTATATATATATATGTGGTATATATGTATTTATATATAATATATATATATATATATATATATATATATATCCGCCGACCCCTTGTCCGCAAGGGCGAGGCGCACGGGAAGGGTGGTTACACATCTCGAGGGATCAAAGCTTGGTATTCCGACCTCATGGACATCATCGTCACTCATCATCATCATCATGGTCATCATCGCCCTTCATCATTATGGTGTCCTCATCCTTATCATCTTTATCCTCACGATCATCATCATCTCTTATGAGGCAGCATTGGAAATGCGTCACCCTTATCAGCATCGTGATGGTCATCATCGCTTTTCATCATCATGATGATCATCATCGCCCTTCATCATCATGATGGTCATCATCATCTCCTTCATTTACATTTATATCATCATCGCCGTCATCATCCTTATCATCATCTTCATGGACATCATCGTCACCCTTATCATCATCATGATGATGATCATCATCGCTTTTCATCATTATGATGGTCATCAGCGCCCTTCATCATCATCTCTTTCATTAACATGTTTGTACATTTCAATTGCGCCGTTAGGCAGCATTGGCAATGCAGAGGATGCTATGATGATAGTTATCATGACAGTCCTCATCCTTATCATCATTATCCTCACGATCATCATACGAGGCAGCATTGGTAATGCAAAGGATGCCACGATGACAGTCGTCATCGCCGTCATTCATTTACATACATCATCATCTCTTTCATTTACATTTATATACATTTCAGGTGTCCCGTTAGGCAGCATTGGTAATGCAGAGGATGCTACGATGATACTTATCATCACGATCATCATCATCTCTTATGAGGCAGCATTGGTAATGCAAAGGATGCTACGATGACAGTCGTCATCGCCGTCATTCATTTACATTTACATCATCATCTGCAGCATTGGTGATGCAGAGGATGCTACGATGACATCCTTGTCATCATTATCCTCACGATCATCATGATCTCTTATGAGGCAGCATTGGTAATGCAAAGGATGCTACGATGATAGTCATCATCGCCAGCATCATCCTTATCATCATTTTCATGGACATCATTGTCACCCTTATCATCATCATCATGATGGTCATCAACGCCCTTCCTTCATCATCATGATGGTCATCATCATCTCTTTCACAGCAATGGTAATGCAGAGGATGCTACGATGATAGTTATCATGACAGTCCTCGCCCTCATCTGTATCATCATTATCCTCACGATCATGATCATCTCTTGTGACGCAGCATTGGTAATGCAAAGGATGCTACGATGATAGTCGGACATCATCGTCACCCTTATCATAATCGATGATGACCATCATGATGATGATGATAAGGTGATGACGATGGGGATGATGATATAATGATGATGATGATGATGGTGATGATGGTGGATGATGATGGTGATGATGGTGGATGATGATGTTGTTGATGCTGAGGATGATGCTGAGGATGACGATGATAATGCTGGTGATTAATGATGATGGCGATGATGATGAATGATGCTGATGATGATGATGATGATGCCGATGATGATGATAATACAGGTGACGATGGTGTCCATGAGGATCATGATCAGGACGATGACGGCGAAAATGACTATCATCGTAGCATCCTTTGCATTACCAATGCGGCCTCATGAGGGCTGTTATGATAACTATCACCGTAGAATGCTCTGCATTACCAATGTTGCCTCGTCACCCTTGTCATCATCATCATGATGGTCATCATCGCTTTTTTATCATCATGACCGTCATCATCGCCCTTCACCATCATGATGGTCATCATCATCATCATCATCATCATCATCATCATCATCATCTCTTTCATTTACATTTATATGCATTCTAGGTGTCCAGTTAGGCAGCATTGGTAATGCAGAGGATGCTACGATGATAGTTATCATGACAGTCCTCATCCTCATCATCATTTACCTCATGCTGCATGACGATCGTCCATCATCATCATCAGCAGCATCATCATCATCAGCATTCTTCATCAGCATCATCGCCATCATCCTCCCGCTAGGAAGCATTGGTAATGCAGTAGTCATCATCGCCGGCATCATCCTTATCATCATTTTCATGGACATCATTGTCACCCTTATCATCATCATCATGATGGTCATCATCGCCCTTCACCATCATGATGGTCATCATCATCTCTTTCATTTACATTTATACAGATTTTAGGTGTCCCGTTAGCAGCATTGGTATTGCAAAGGATGCTACGATGATAGTTATCATGACAGTCCTCCCCCTTTTCTTCACGATCCTCCTCTCGTCAACATCCTTATCCTTGTCCTCATGGTCATCATCATCATCACCCTTATCATCATCATCATGATGGTCATCATCATCTCTTTTTTTGATTCTTGTATACATGCATTTCAAGTGTGCCGTTAGGCACCATTGGTAATATTCAACAAGATAAACAATTATTTCGTTCGTTCTTCCATTGGCATCCATAGTCCCGCAGGGTAATTCTCGGCACCTACAGTCCCGCTCTGTCATCTTTATCATCATCTTCATGGACATCATCGTCACCCTTATCATCATCATCATGGTCATCATCGCTTTTCATCATTATGATGGTCATCATCATCTCTTTCTTTGATTCTTGTATATATGCATTTCAAGTGTGCCGTTAGGCACCATTGGTAAAATTAAACGAAATATAAAATTATTTTGTTCGTTTTTCGATTGGCACCCATAGGCAGCATTGGTAATGCAGAGGATGCTACGATGATAATTATCATCAAGCATTCTTTTCAGCATTCACAGGGAGGACATTTCGAATGTAAGGATAACTATCATGAAGCGTCCTCCAGGATTCATGGGGCGGACATTTCGAGTCATGATGACTATCATCGTTCTACCAAGACTGTCGAATAAGAGATGATGATTGCCGTGATGGTACTGATGATAAGCATGAAGACTCTAGAAAGAAAGGATTGATGAGGACCGTCGTGATGATGACTGTGATGAACCATGATGATGATGATGATGATGATGATGATAAATATCATCGTAGCATCCCCTGCATCTCCAGCGCTGCCGACGACAAGTATCATCAGAGCATCCTTTGCATCTCCAACTGTGCCTAAGGCCACTGTGGAAATGTATATATATATATATGTATATAAAGAAAGAATAAAGAAAGAATAAATAAAGAAAAAGATGATGATGAGCGTCATCATGATGACTATGATGATGATGATGATGATGAGTTTGAAGATGCTGATGATGAAGGATGATGATGAATATGACAATGATGATGGCGAAGATAGATGACGATGATGACGGTGATACTAAGAATGATGATGATGATAAGTAAGTATGAGAAAGGAAAAGGATGATGATAACCCTCATGTAATTGATGAGGATGAATCTTCGGTTATGCTCAATGTGCAACCACCCTTCCCGTGCGCCTCCCCTCTTTGGCAAGGGGTCGGCGGATCGCATCATCGCCCTTCATCATCATGATGGTCATCATCATCTCTTTCATTTAATGACAATCCTCATCATTATCCTCACGATCATCATCATCTCTTATGAGGCAGCACTGGTAATGCAAAGGATGCTACGATGATAGTCATCATCGCCGTCATCATCCTTATCATCATCCTCATGGACATCATAATGTATATAATGTAAATGAAATAGATGATGATGACCATCATGATGATGAAGGGCGGTGATGACCATGATGATGATGATGATGATAAAGGTGACGATGATGTCCATGAGGATGATGATCAGGATGATGACGGCGATGATTCATCGTAGCATCCTTTGCATTACCAATGCGGCCTCATGAGGACTGTCATGATAACTATCACCGTAGCATCCTCTGCATTGCCAATTTTGCCTCATTACCCTTATCATCATCATCATGATGGTCATCATCGCTTTTCATCATCATGATGGTCATCATCGCCCTTCATCACTGCATGTCCAATCTAATTGCAAGGGAAACCCTTGCAATTGGCAACCGAAGGGTGACGTTCCAAATGAGCAAAAGGGGAAAAATAGGGAACCCTGCAAGTTCAATCGCGAGTCTGGACAAACTGTTCTGCATGGGATCGGTGGCCCGTTGGGCTGTGGCTCTGAAGTCTGAAATGTTCAAGCATATCCATCTTGCCCAGCGCTTGAGTTCCCACGGAAATTCGGGGAACCATGGTGTAAAACGAAAAGGCAAACATATATCTGTTCCCACTTTGCATATTGGGCAATGCAAAGCTCACAATCAGCACATTCCAAAGATTCCGGGGCCAGATGGGTCCTTCTATGTCCTGCTTGAACACCACCCCCAAAAGAAAGCTCGACTAAAACTGGTCCAAGAGGTGATGGCGTACACAGCCACATTTCCACCGAAACGGGGCCGACGCGTGACCCGTCCATCCAGTTGGGCAAGTAACCAATTTTGACACTCGCCTTATGTCAGAGGAATGGTTTCGTAAAATAAATACTTTTACCTCAGGCTGCCCAGAGTTACCTCTAATGGCTAGACTGGAAGCACTCGATTTGGTCAACCGCATAAGGGTCCTCAAAGCGGGCATGAACGCAGGCCCCCCTCCCCCCAAAGGTGCGGCTTCTTTGTGAGCCCAGGGGTACCGCCTCTGGTGTGGGCCCGTTTACTACAAGAAGGAGTCGGAACCATTCCACGTCGTTTTGTTGCTCTCTTTCCTCTGGACTTAGACGATCGGAGGGCTGCGGAAGACTACGGTCTTGTTCAAAAATGCCCCAAACCTCCACTTTGATGGAAAAAGGCACCATCTGTCCCCCTAAAAGTCCAACTGTCCACTTGGCAATAAGCATGACTTGCACTTTCATCCAGATTTACACCAAGCAGGGTTCTGTTTAATCTTGGAGGCCGAGGTAGGTTCGGACAGACGGCACATGTCTCGGTCACACAATCTAGGCCAATTGCAATTTCCCCTGCATAACCTACTGCGTGGTAACTGGCAGCACTGGGCTACCCCAAGAAAAAGGCTCCCTATATGGAAGGAGCCATGAGGTCAAACGAAACCTCCCATGGCCTTTTCCCGCGAAGGGAAGCTAGGCCTTTTCAACTTGACAGTTGAAACCACCATCCCAAAGCATCTGGCATCAAATCGCGCGCCCTGGGGGAAGGAAAGCCAACGCCTACACCCACCCTGAGGGTCAAAAAGCCTTGCACGGTCGACTGCTTCTGAATGCTCGACTCACCGATGGAATTAACAAGGTATACCGGGGTCAGGGGGGAGTCCAACAACTTCCGTCGCCAGGAAACACGCCGGTGCCTTCCCGCGCCAGCGGCTCAATTCCATCTAACCTTCAGCGTCAGGGAGAGTCGCAATGGTCTGCTTGCAACGGAACCGGAGAATCTTTGACATGAAATTTCAGGTAAACTGCTACCCCCCACACAAAGTTCTAGTTTTCCATAGTCAGGGCGTTTTATTGGGGTCAGCTTTGAAAAGAGCATGGCCATCTGGGAACTGTTGAAAAAACAAAGGCTTTGTGTGTGGTTACTTACTCTGCCTGGGATCTGGGCTGAAACCGAATGGTCTAAGCAGATTGCAGGAACTTGCTTGCATTTCTGAACTTCTGAACCCCCCACTCTGTGTTCAAATCCCGCTCGCGTCTGCCAAGAGAAACATACATTAGTCATTAGTCAATATAGAGCCAATCGCCTTTTTCAGGTTGGGAGGTCACTGGATCAAAATACTCACAGCTCACCCTGAAACGCGAGTTTCCTTTCTTTGTCTGCGATCCACAGCCAGGCTTCAGGGTTGGGATGGAGAAGCAGACTCCGCTAGGAGACCCTAAAACGTGCCCCTGCACATTCAACTCCCCCTAGAAAGACTTCGTTGAGCCCACACCTTCATGATTTTTCCGGAACCAAAGGCTCCTTCGTGGTGCTCGTAACCCCGATCAAACAAGTACAAAGGTGGCCTTTGAATCGGGTTCTTCTCTGGTGCACGCCAAACATTTGGCCCGTGACATGGTGTTGAATGGATCTATGTACCGAGCGGAGAAAGGGGGCCCAAAATGGGCCAACCTACCCTTCCCTGGTGCTAAAACCGACCAAACATACTAAACAAACACAAACTTGGCAAATGGACGGATCTTTTGTTGGCGCACTTCTCAAAAGGGAACCAAAAGGACACGCATCCCAAGGTCTTTCTCGGATTCATTAAGATGGCGGCCTGTTGGATGCTTCCTCCAAAAGTAAAGGTCCCCTCGTAGGACACACCCCAGACAAAATCAACAAGACGTTTACTTAATCCCTGGGTTCGCATCTTGCCGTGGTCAACATTCAATCAACTGTTTTTCAAAAATGCTGGGGCTCTGGGGCTTGATTCTTCCTTATGGCTGAATGAGCCATCTATCCAAATGAGCTCCGGCGAAGAACTCCCTGTGTGGGGTCATGCTCATCGCTCCCTAGCAACCCTTGCAATTCTAGGGGGAACTTCCCCATTCTTTGAAGGGATCCTGCTTTCTAGAAAGCCACAAGAAACCCTGGGGAAATGGCTGGTCTGGGAAAAGAACGATGGCTGAAAAGAATGGGGAATCAACCCTTAGAACAATGGTTATCTAAACTCCCTCGGGTTTGATGACCGTCCCTACCAACCGAAAGCAAATTCGACCAATTTCGAGCATTTCGACGCGGGCTTCTTTTTGGAGGGCACCCCTTTTAGGTTGCGCTTTTTGAAGGGAACCAAATGTCCATGAGCTTTCCGAACCCTAAGCCACCAACTGACAGCAAGTCAAGAGACGGCGAGTTTTAAGAGCTGGAACCTTTCAAAAGTGGTTGCTGGTTCTCCCCACCAAACTTTATGTCAATGTCCAGGACATCACCGGGGCCGAGACTTCAGGGAGTGAGCCGCAGGCCTGCCGGAATTCCTGACAGGGCTTCTCAGGTTGTCCTTTGGTTTTCCTTTTGGTTTCCCTTTTAAACCATCCCAAAAGGGTTCCCTCAAAAACAGGCACCCCCATTTTTATTAAAGGAAGTGAATGTACAATGCCCAGTTGCTTGTTATCCAGTATTCCCAGTGATCACCATACCAGTAGAGCCGGCAAAGCCAGTGCACGGAAGTTTCTAAAGCGAGAAGAGTGCCTATAGGAAGAGCTTGGCTTGTTGTTGTTTTGGTTGCGCTCTTTCTTTGTCTCTTTCTTTTTCTTTCTTTATTTCTTTCTTTCTTTCTTTCTTTTTGTTCTTTCTTTTTCTTTCTTTTTTTTGTATTTATTTCTTTATGTCTGTCTGTCTTTCTTTCTTTCTTTCTTTCTTTCTTTCTTTCTTTCTTTCTTTCAGTATTTCTGTCTTTCCTTCTTTCTTTCTTGCTTTCTTTCTTTTGCTTTTCTTTCTTTCTTTCGCAATCTATTTGTTTATTTTTATTTATCTCTATCTCTCTTTATTATTTCTTTCTTTCTTTTCCTTCTTTCTTGCTTTCTTTCATTTCTTTTCTTTCTTTCTCTATCTCTTGATTTCTTTTATGTCTCTTTCTCGTTATTTCTTATTTGTTTCTTTCTTTATTTCTTTCTACTTATCTTTCTCTTTCTCTTTCTCTTTATCTTTCTCTTTCTCTTTCTCTTTCTCTTTCTTTCTCATTTCTTTCTCATTTCTTTCTTTCTTTCTTTCCTTTTTGTTTCTCTTTATCTTTCTCTTTCTTTCTTTCTTCATTTCTTTCTTCCTTTCATTTCTTTGTTTATTTCGTTCTTTCTTTATTCCTTTTTTCCTGATTTCGTTCCTTTTTCTTTATTTCTTCATTTCTGTCTTTCTTGATTTCTTTGTTTTGATTTTTCTTTATATATCTCTCTGTCTTTCTTTTTCTCTTCCCATTTGATCTAATGTTGGCACTTGAGTAGTGAAGGGTACCGGAATAATAGAAAGTTGTTTTCCTTATTATGGTTCGCACCCATTGTTTAAGGGGACCAGAATACTAGAAAGTTGTTTTGGTCGGGGGGAAAATTCCAAAAAACAACTCCACAAAGCAATTGTAATTTAAAAAGCCACCCCCCCCAAACAATCACCCAAAGTCCATGTTGACCCCATACCAAATGCCAACAAATTCACAAACATGCCCAAACAAGCACACCTGAATCTCCATCAAAAACTGGCCTCAACCACGTGTGGCTCCACTGTAGAAGTCAATTGTAGCCTGAGCCCGGCTCAATTGCTGAATTGTGGCTTGCTGAAGTTCCTTCCACTCCTTCTCCTTCTCCTGCTGAACCTTCTCCTCAGTGTAGCTGTCAATGGTCATCTGAAAGCCCTCAGCATGGCTCAAAATGGCCTGCTCCTGATTCTCTTTCTCCTGGTTCTCAAGCTTCCTCCTCTTACAAGAAGACTCTTCCGGCCAATGTGTGAAATGTCTGCCTGAAGCTGGGTCTCCTGAACCTCATCCATTTCCATTGCTGGGCCTGCTGGTCACTTGGAGAACTTCTGAAATGCAGCTCATGAAGCAACCTGGCATGAGCCTTAACCTGAAGGCATCAGGTGCTCACACTGTTTTCCAACCAAAAATCCAGCTCAAAGGCAGCTCACATGGACTTGAAGAGCTGCTCAACATCTTGCTGTTTTCCAGGGAGGCCTGTGCTACCAAATGCTCAATGACACTGCAACTCAAAAACAGCACAGTCAACTGCACCTGTCCTCCAACAAAAGCAAGCTTGTGCTCAAGGTTTGCGAACAAGGTACCTGAGTGCTGACTGGCACCCGCTCTGCCATCTGCATCTTGAACATACCTCAGAAATGAGTTTTCTGAAGGGTGAGATCCTTCCATGTGACCCTTAAGGAATTGGTCTCAATGAGCTCCTTGGCTTTGGCCGCAGCTGCTGACTCCTTGTTCTTCATGCTGCTCAGCTTCTCCTCAGCAGCTGCCTTAGCTGAGCCTTCTTCTCCTTATCCTGCCTCTTCTTAATGTCATTTCCCAGCTGGGTCTGAACCTTGCTCAGCTCCTTTGCAATGCTTGCTGAAATCTGGATAAGGCGGCCCTTCCAGTGCTGAGCCCTTTGATGGTCTCACCTCTCAACTTCCTGGCCTCTGAATTGTCCTGGAAGGCTGAATTCACTCTCAAGGGCTCCAGCTGAAGCCACTCTGCCACAAGGGTTGCAGCCTGAATTGCATGCTGGGAGTGGTGCTGAAGGCTGTCATACCACCGAGCTTAATCTTTGGTCCACAACCAGCAGGGTCCAATGGCTTGGATTCTCACTGAAGATTGGCGCTCTGAATCAAAAACTGCTTGTGCTCAACATGCACCTGAAGTGCAATGTTGCGGGTCAGAGCTGAATCCACAATTCCAACCTGGTCTGAAGGTATGGCTGCACCTGGCTTCTGAAGCGCCCAGCTCAGACCAGCCCATCTGAATGCGCTGATCCTCAAGCAGAATCCTTGTGCAACTAAGAGGTCAACCTCGCACAAGCCATCCTCAGGAAGGCAATGCAGCTGCTGAAGCATGAGCCTCATCTCCTCCCTACTGAGCTGCCTAAAGGCAGGCCACTGAAAGGTCTTGACCTTCTGAGGCACCTTAAGCTCCACCTCTGCAGGTAAAACCATGAAGGTGCCTAAACTTGTCAAAATGTTGTACCTGCCTGAAGAAGGGCTCCAGAAATGAGCTGTGCCATCTTGCCCAAAGGCTAACTTGCGCTGAGTCCACCTGCTCCTCAGCCTGCTCCTCAAGTGGAAGTGGCTCCTCAAGCGCTGGCTTCTCAGAACTCCTTGGCCTTCCCAGCCTTCTTCACATCAGCGACCTTCTCAACAATCTTGCTGGTCTTGGATGCATTCTTCTTCTTTTTCTTGTCAAGCACTGAAGGCTTTGACTTTGCTGAAGGCTTGTGGGTCTTGGATTTCTTGACCATTGCTGAAAGCTTCAGCTTAGCCTTGGCCTTGGCCTTAGCTTGACCTTTGAGGTCTCCAAAACCTCCCCTGTTTCTCCTTCTTCTTCTTCAACTGCTCCTCAAAAAAAAAGTCTGCAAGCCTCTTGTGCAGAGCTCTCCTCAAGGATGGGTGAAGCCTCAGGTTCAGCGAGTTCTCAAGACTGAGCTCAAGCTGCTCTTCAAGTTCACCTTCAATCTCAACCAGCTCAAGGTGTTGCTGAATCATCTTGCTCACCTTCTCTGTAGTAGTCCCATCCCTGAAGGTATCCCTGATACGCTGTCTGAAAGAGACCAGTCTGGCTCAATGGTGGGCTTGCCATCAGGACTGAGCCAACGGAATCTGTCCAAGAACCAATCTGATAGGATTCTCTTTGTTCCCATCTGAAAGCCTTCTGCTTGAGCCCAGCTGCACTCAGTGACCTTCTGAAGCTTGCCTCCTGAAGGGATGTAGCCAAAGATGCCATTTCTGATGGCTGCCTTAAGAACCCATTCATCCTCAAGGTTCTTCTTGCTCATCCCCTCCTGGCAAAGACCACAGACGCAAGTATCCCTAAACTGCAAACCTTCCAGGCAGCATCTTGCTGATACTTCTGCTGAAAGTCATGCCTGAGTTGCTGAAGCTTTTCTTTGACAACTGACTTGAATTGATTGCTGAAGTCACTGTCTGTAATCTGCAGCTTGCTGGTGCTGCCTGAACCACCCAGCCCTGAAATCAGCTGTCTTGCTTCATAAGTGATCCTGAATCTCTCATCAGTGCTGTGGCCTACAACTGTGAGAGAGCCAGGTGCTGAAGTGTTGGCTGAAGGCTTCTTAGCTGAAGCTTTGGGCTCATCTGAAGCTGCTGTGGCCGGCTGCTCCTTAGCTGCAGCTTTGGGCTCATCTGAAGCTGCTGTGGCTGGCTGCTCCTCAGCTGAAGCCGTGGGCTCCTGTGAAGCTGTTGCTGAATCCTTGGCTGCTGAAGTGAGAGCCTCATCATTGCCACTTTCCCCAAATGAAAGCTTCTTCTTGGTGGTTCGTGGTGAAGAGATCTCTGTGTCAAGGGCTGGGCTTCCTCTCAAAAGAGGATGGTGCTGCTGAAGAAGCTGGTGTGACTCCCCTGCTTCCAGTCAGGTGTTCTCAATGCTGCCTAGGCAAAGTGCCCACCACAAGGCCAGGCTCATGCTTGTTGCTCCAATGGCATCCCTGATCCCTGAAAAGTCTTTGGTGCTTTGCTAATGCATCTCATGCTCTGCAAACAGTGCCTTCTTGCCCTGAGACTTTGGGTCAAAGGGGCACTTGGTCTGAAAAACCAACCATGCAAGGTTTGCCTGAGCCTCAAGTTTGATCTTGTCAGACCTGCCTCCTAAGCTCCTCTGTTGCTGCTTCTTGGCTTGTGACTTCAAGTCAATACCTTTCTCTAAAGCCAATTGCTGGGCTCATCAAGTTGCTTCTGAAAGTCTTCTTTCATTGCCTCAGCCTCAAGCTGTGTTTTGCTCTTGCTGGCCCTGAAGTAGGGCAATTAAGCACTGGCTGCCTCCTTCTGAGCTTCAGGTGAACCCCAAAACTTGGCAAGTCCAAACTGAAGCTTTGCTTTCTCCCAGGTGGCTCTGAACCTTCTTCTTCACAAAGCTGTTCTGCCAGCTCTGAATCTCCTTCAGCAACAAGCTGAAGATTGTGTACCTCAGAAATTTGAAAACCATCGCCAGCCCTGAAACTGCAAACTCTTGATTGAACCGTGTTGAAAAAAACAAAAAACAATCAGGACAAGGGTACCCCTCACAGACCCCACTGAACCACAATAATGTGATTGTTTTAGGGGACCACAATAGTGGAGAGCCACCAGCCCCCCCCCCAGAAAATAAACTATCAGTTGCTTTGCTCAAACGCATTCCCCTTTCAATTGGTGGCCTACTTGCTTAAAAGCATTCCCCTTTCAATTGGTTGCTCAACCACAGAACCCAAAGCCAGCTGAAACCATTGAGCCACAATAATGTGATTGTTTTAGGGGACCACAATAGTGGCAAGCCCCTAGCCCCCCCTCCCAGAAAATAAACTATCAGTTGCCTTGCTCAAAAGCATTCCCCTTCCAATTGGTGGCCCACTTGCTTAAAAACATCCCCTTTCAATTGGTGGCCCACTTGCCTAAAAGCATTCCCCTTTCAATTGGTTGCTCAACCACAGAACCCAAAGCCAGCTGAAACCTCTGAAATTTGAAAACCACCCCCAGCCCTGAAACTGCAACCCCTCACAGACCCCCCCAACGCCCCCTCCCAGAAATAAACTATCAGTTGCTTGCTCAAAAGCATTCCCCTTTCAATTGGTGGCCCACTTGCTTAAAAGCATCCCCTTTCAACTGGTGGCCCACTTGCTTAAAAGCATTCCCCTTTCAATTGGTTGCTCAACCACAGAACCCATAGCCAAACCCCCAGTTGATAAGCTGCGTCTGCTTCTTGTGCCATTGCTGGCTGAAGCCACTCAAACAGAAAAGTATCTGAGCCACTCACAGAAGAGTCACTGAATTCCAATGCTGCATGAATCTGAAGCTTGCAACTGAACCTTGCACATGCATCAAATTGGCTGCAAATGCTGAACTATTTTTGCAAAGCAAATGGTCTGTCTTTGAGCTCATGCAAGGCTGAAACAAAAGCCCACTGCTTCAGAACCACACCTAATTATGAACAACTTCACATGAGCTGAATGATTAACACTGAAATGGTTTCCTCAAATACATCATTAGGTAATTACTCAAGTGTTCCAGTGAGCAGCAGGTCTGCCCAGCTCAACCATGCTCTAAAAACACTACATTGTGCTGAAGAGGCACTGAAGTGTTCATCAGGCAATTCCATCAAACAACTCAAGCTGAACTTGAAACAGCAACACCATTTTCATGTTGATGTCTTAGCCTGAAATCGAGGCCTGCAACGCATGCCTGAAATGAACCTTAATGCCCCTTGACACTGGCTCAAGCTGTCAAAGCCTAGCTGAAGCTTCTGCCTTTGCTCAAAACGAGCAGCTTGTTGAAGCTTCCAACTGCTTTGCAGCTCTGAAGGCGCCCTCAAGCTAACCATCTCGCCTGTACCTGAGGTGATCAACCTTAGCTGCGCTAAGTGGCGGCGCTCAATGACTGAAGCTTTCTCAAGCAGCTGCCACGCTGAGGTTAATGCAGCATCCACCAGGCTGACCAGCTTCTTCACTGCAACCATGGTGGCCACCACCAGGGTGCTCAAAGCCTGTGCTGGAAATGAAAAAAATGTGGCTGTTCCAAAAAACCTTTATAATTAACGCCATATACCAAAAAACAACTAATACCAATCATGAAAGCCAAGAGTCAATCTGAAACAGGCTCACCCCCAAGATCTCCTCCAGCTGAATGACCAGAGGGCTCATGGGGTTGATGCCTGCTCAGGGCTTGGTTAATCAGCCAAACAGAAAGCAAAGAGCCAACACTGCTTCAGCAAAGGCACCTGGAGCCATCCCTGAAGAGATCACCAATGCCACAATGAAGATCATCTTAAGAGCCATCCTTAGCAGGGGGCTGGCTGGCACTGTTTGATTACAAAAAGCAACACCTAAAAAACAACTAAATTAAAAAAGGACAGGTTGCTGTCCAGTTGAGTTGAGCAGCTCAGAATGGCTCACAACTGAAGCAGAATCTGAAGCTTGAAGTCTTCAAAAGCCCTGGCAAACATGCAGCCACCTGTCAGGCTCAACTTCCAAGCCAAAGCTCAACATCCAAGCATGCTCAAGTTCCCACATGCTCAAAACACATGCTCAGCTGCAAGGCTCAACCCCCAAACGCAAGTACTCAAGTTCCCCCACACCCAATCTTCAACCTCCAATCTGACCTCACACAATCCTAAAGCTGCTGGTGCACTTTTGCTGTGTGCTCCAACGGTTCAAGAAGTTTGGCCCTGAAGGGCTGAACTCACCAAAAACACAAAATGCATAATTAGTCTGAACTTTGCCAAACTGAAGCTAATGCTGAAAAGCCAGCCAAAGGCTGCAGTGCCTAAGCACCTGTTCCAACGAAGGAGCTGAAGCTCAAGCAGCTTAAGATGCACCAACCAATGATGACTGGTCAATTGATTGATTAACTATGTCCATCTAAACCTCACTCAAGCTGCTGAACCATGCTCTCAATTTGTTCTTTGGCTCCTCCTCTTGTGCTCAGCCTCAAGCAGCACAAATTTCTCTGAAAGGCCTTCAAGACGCTCCCTCAAGGTCTGCGATCTTGCTGTCAGTCTTCCTCAACTTGTCTGACAGCTCCTTGCCCTCTAAAGTGGCCTCCTGAATGTCATTCTCAAGTCCTGCCTTCAGGCTGCAAATGCAGTCTCAGCCAATGTTGACACCCTCCCCAAGCTGAATCTCCCTCTCAATGGCCTCTCACGGTCAACTCAGAGTTGACTGGCACCAAAGTCAATTTCAAAAAAAGCAAAAGAACACTGTCTTTTTCCCAAGCCTTGATGTCGCTCTGAGCCTGAGCTATGAAAGGAAGGCGAGGTGCTGGTGCCTTGGCACTGAGTCCTGGAGGGCCTGAAAGGGTGGCTGAAGATGCTGGAGGTGGTGGAGGTGCTGAAGCAACCTGAGGCACCTGAAATCCAAGGTGTGGGATCCAGGGGCTCATGGGCACTGAATACTCCCTCAATTGCCACATCATCCAGTTCCTCTTGCCTCATCATCAAGCAATTCATAGCGAAAGCAAACTAGTTTGCACTTAAAAACTGAAATTGGCACAGCAAGTAACTAAAGTTGTGATCCAGCATGTGGCGAAGCCTGGAAGTGTGAATCCAAGCGGTTGGCACCCCCTAAGCACTAAAACAAACAATTAGCAAGGAAAGCAAAATACTCAATGCCAAGTGCAAATCAGTCACAGCCTGGGCTTTGACAAACTGTGTATGGCTCAGGCTCAATCTGCTGGTACTTAACCCCGCACAGCCTGGCTGTTTCCTGAACTCATGGCTGCACAGGAGGCTGAAACTGCTGCCCAAAGACTGGAAATTGAGCTGAAATGGCCAACCATGCATCTGGCCCAAGGCGGCTCAAGCTGGCCAGACCTGGTTTCATTCTAGCTTAAGCCCTCCCTGGCTGAAAGGGCACACCCCTTTGAATGGCCACAGAAAGAACTGAAAGGGAAGTGGTTGCAATACTCAAGTAGTATTCAAAAAAGTCTGCTCAGGAAGAAGTGGTTGCAATACTAAAGTAGTATTCCAAAAAGTCTTCTCAGGAAGAAGTGGTTGCAATACTAAAGTAGAATTGCAACAAGGAAGTGGCTGCAATACTAAAGTAGGATTGCAAAAAGAAGTGGCTGCAATACTAAAGTAGAATTGCAAAAAGGAAGTGGCTGCAATACTAAAGTAGAATTGGGCCCCAAAATCCTCCACTGTTTGGACGTCCCAAAAGTGCACCCCCTGTATTTTGGCGCCTCCATTGTTCAGGGGGGGGCCCCTTTATTAATCAAGTGCCAACATTATCTATCTTTCTATCTATCTGCACCTGACCTTGCGAAAGTGCTGCGCCTGCCACGAAATCTGCACTTGACCTTGTGAAAGTGCTGCGCCTGCCACGAAATCTGCACTTGACCTTGCGAAAGTGCTGCGCCTCGAATCTGTACTTGACCTTGCGAAAGTGCTGCGACTGCCACGAAATCTGTACTTGACCTTGCGAAAGTCCTGCGCCTGCCACGAAATCTGCACTCGGCATTACGAAAGTGCTGCGCCTGCCACGAAATCTGTACTTGACCTTGCTGATCTATCTCTCTGTCTATCTATCTATCTTTCTCTCTATCTATCTATCTATTTATTACCTGACCTTGCGAAAGTGCTGCGCCTGCCACGAAATCTGCACTCGACCTTGCGAAAATGCGGCGCCTGCCACGAAATCTGTAGTTGACCTTTGCACGGGCACAAAATGCTGCGCCTGCCATGAAATCTGCACCTCTTGTTGCCAAAGTGCTGTGCCTGCCACACAAAATAGACCTCCGAACACGTCTGCGCGAGCATTACAGTGGACAACATTCCGAAACCCTTGGCGATTCTCCGTGCTGACTGATTTCACTTCTGAGTGCGTCTGGATCTTGTGATTCAACTTTTCGTATTACGGAAGTTTTCTTACTAAACTTCCTTTGACTAGGTAACAAGGTACTTTTGACAGCCAGCTCCAAGCAATCCTAAACCCGAAAAACCCTAATCCTAAACCCTAAAAACCCTAAACCTGAACCCTAAAACCGTTAAACCTAAACCCTAAAAACCCTAAAACCCCTAAACCTAAACCCCAACAACCCAAAACTAAACCCTAAAATCCCTAAACCTAAACCCTAAAAACCCTAAACCTAAACCCTAAAAACCCTAAACCCAAACCCTAAGAACCCTCTGCCAGCACGATCATACTGCATAAAAAAGACCTTGTGGGCGACAGGTATGTGTTTTGTGGGTACTTTTGCCACCGCTTCAAGCACTGGGCAGAGCTTCTAATACCCAGTGTATCTAACAGCTGCACGCCAAGGTAACCAGACGTATTGCATGTGGATGTTAAAAGGAGGCAACTGGAAGCAACGGGAAGGGCTTCCCATAATCCATGACACGGATGGAAGTGTATAAATAGGTGTGTGGGTGTATATATACATATGTCTTGTGCACATACATACCAGTACCAGTGCGGGTATATGATGTGTATATGTGTGCTGACATACCCGGATATACTGTGTAATATACATAGATATATATATATATATATATACTGTATTATGTGTATACATGGATATACATATGTATAAATGTATGATCACACTGTCTTTCTGTGGCCTGCTGTCCCTGCTCTCTCCAGAAGGGCGCGTCGGCCTAAGCAATGCGCCGAGAATGCGGCCAGACGATTTTTTCAGCCCACACCCCTCCGTGAACAAGTACTCTACTCAACTCCGTGGATCCTAGTGGCTCCCAACACTTACCTACTCAACCAAGTACACATACCACCGTAGGTAACTTCTGGGGTTTGTATTGGGATTTTCAAAGGCAACGCTTGGTTCCCTGCTAGACTGGTAAATGGAATCACTGGGCAATGTTTGACCCCTTCTAAAACATTCAGTCTATGTCAAGTGGGAACTTCCAAGAGCACAATATGACCGGTAGCAACATGTTCATTCCAAATGCACGCGTCCGCCCTCACCCACATGAACATGTACCTGCTTGAACATGCCATATCCTCGAGCTTGGTGCCGTCGAGTCTCAAGTTCAGAAGGCGATCTGGCCCCAAAGACGTTGCCAGTCACTTGGCTTGTAGTGGTTGCTCCAAAATTGGGAAGCAGGATGCAAGCTTCAGGTGAAGCAGTGACCGAATTGACATGGGATGTTGGAAGCCTCACGGAGGATGTCTCTAAACAGTTTCTCAGTAATCCCAGTCCGTGGGCAAATCTTGCATGTCAAACCCAAACGGTCGGCTTCCTTTTGGCTTCCCCGAAGAGGGCGTGGCTCCCCTCAATAAACCTACCGGGCGAGCCTTCAGGTTGCCAGATGCAAGCCCTCCAAAACGGGACATGGCTTGTTTCTTTTCGAGGGAACCCTCCAAACTGATTCCCACCTTTAACACAAACCAAAAAGCCGGTCCCTCCAAACGAAGACAACCTCTCGTTGACAAGGCAAAGAAACTTGATGAAGCTACCTGGGACAGCCTCTCATTGGTTTATCTCTACAAGAACGGGAACCCTTTGCTTCGTCTCTAGTTTTCCTTGCAACCCACCAAAAAGGTTGCAAAACATCGGGACACCCACCTGCCCCAAAAAATCCGAGGATCGGCATCGGCTGGATCAGAGGCTTCAGGTGCTTGGTGAGCAGAGACGCATGCTCCTGGCCGCTTGAAAGGAAACACGGGGAAACACGACTAGGTCCTCCAGTACTCCAGTAGAGAGGTAGAATAAGGGCACCGTCTTTTTTTCTGTAGTCTATTTTAGTAGGGGAACCCCCCAAAAAGGGCAAAAGGGCATTGCCGGCCAACACATAACCATGCATATGTTCTGCTCTGGATTGGTCATCTTCCAAAGGCTCGGAGCAACCCTGTCAGTTCTGTGTTGTTTTTGGGCCGCAAGAACAGACAGCTGGGTGTTCAGGGGATCTGGAAAAGAATCCTTCCACACTGGCGGCTTCCTTTAGATAAATTTACAAACGGAACCTACACTCTGCAAGTAGAAGAATTGCCCTGGCGCAGGAGCCATGTTGAAGTATTCGGCCGCAGGGTAAAAGTACTTGAGCTTGAAGTAGCAATTTGTCATGAAAGAGCGTGGACAAAAAACGGACATCCCAGAAATCTGGGAAGCATGGCTGCGGACCCAAGGATGCCACTGTTGGCTTTTGGAGGGACACAACACTTGAGCAATTCAACAAAACACGAGAGATAAGGAACATGTCTATAAGATGGAACCCATCAAATGGCCCCGTTTTAGCGGAAAGCAAACTTTCACGATCCTCCTATGGGTTTCCATGTCTGGTGGGAAGGTAGTCCAAGAATGGCCACGAGCTTTGAGCTTTGTTTCTTTTCACCGGGTTTTTAGGCAACCACCACAAGGGCTTTCTGCCCTTCTAGTAGTGTTTAAGGTAGTGTCACATCTGAAGCCAATAAATGTCATGTTGAGGGTCTCCGGGTACCCTCCCATTACCCATTCAAAGGTTCCTGAAAGGCAAGTTGCCTCTAAAAGGGACTTATTTTTGTGGGTTTCAACGGACTCCAAGGTTAAACCCACCGTTTTTGACCACAAGACCTTTGTGAGGGTGATCTTGTTGAACAAGAATTGCGAGCGTCACCGCTCAACTGGACCGTGCCCAAATGACACGACAAACATTCATTATTTAGATGTTGTGCATTATATGTGAATATGTATGTATGTATGTATGTATGTATGTATGTATGCATGTATGTATGTATGTATGGATGCATGTAGGAATGTGCTTGAATCAAAACTAGAAGGCCTTGCTTAAGCTTTCCAAAGAATGCGAGAACGAACCCAAGTGGGAGGTGTTCCTACTAGTCTTCCAGCGTGACGCCCTATTGATGAGGAACTCACGTGCCACACTGACTAAACACTCTGCATTACCAAGCAATACCTTTCCATGTTGGTTCTACCGACTAACCAACTAAACCTTTCACAGGTTCGAAGCTGAGACTTTGGTCTTGGATAACACAGCTGCAAACTTGGTGAATCCTTGCGTGGGAACGCCACTTGCCCTTGGCGGCGAATCTTTGGCCTTTGAGAAAATAGTGTAAACGGAGCCCTTAAGAAAGGGTGACCACGAGGATAGACAGAATCAGGATCTCACAAAAGGTCAAACACTTTGACCCTATTCAAACGTGGCAAAGGGTTCACTCACCGCCATGAAACTCTGGCAGAATATGGTGTAAGCAGCTATGCAAGCCCTCTTTGGCAGCTACTATGCAATCGAAGAAATATTGCCACATGTTATGCTGCACACATGCACATGCTCTCCTGCCGAATAAGAAGATGTCTGCACACGAAAGCACGTGCCATGGCCAGCCATGGCTTCCTACGAACCCCTACTATGGCGGCTTAAACTTCCGGCGTCCATCACCATCCCTACCAACGCCACGCAAACCGGTCTTTTCGCCAGGTATTTTGTTTGACCATCATTTTCAGAATTCCAGTTACCATTGTACAAAGCAAAAACAATCGTGGAACATCTAAAGGCAAACAACAACTGGTTGCCCACGAGCTACAGTGGTAACGGGAAGGACCGGGATTCACACGGCGACATGGCAGTGCTTATCTGCAACTTGCGCTGCTGGCCTCAGCCATCTCTCGCGCGTCTTTCACCTCAGGAAGGCAGCTGAAGTGGTAAGTGGATGTAAAGGGCCTGGAACTATCGTACAATCCATTTACGGTCAACTGTAAGCATTCACATGGAAACTCGTCGACCTCTGACGCACGCGCACAAGCACAACAAGCACACATGCAGACATGCACACAACGACTCCATCACACGAACAAACACCAGAACAAGGACAAGCACGCAACACACACACACACGCAAACACTACACAACCACAAACCAACACACAAACAAACTAAAACAAACACACAAGCATAGCCCAACACTACCGCCGGCATGCAGCGCCTCGTAGATCAAGTCGTGCTTGAGATTAAACTGGAAATGTAGCACCTGGCTGACGCTGACACAGACGAACGACAGCCAAACCTGAATTAAGAAAGGGTCGTGTCTTGTCTCGCCGAAACATTGCTCCATTCAAGGAAAACCATTCTAGTCTTGGTGAATGAATACTTTGTCAAGCACAAAACAAGGGCTCCCTATGAAAGGAATCTTTGGTGAGGTCGCTCAACTGCCAGGTCGCCAATATTTTTGTCCGTTGCCAGGATCTCTAGAAACCTCTCCCGAGGTGTGCCAAACAGATCTGGTGGGACCCAGCTTGACCCAGCCAAGTGGCCGCAAGGGACCCGGGGCTGACCGTCTTGAGTGGGGAAGCCACCAAAGAAGGGATTTACAGGTTGCCAGATCTTTGCAGAGCTATCTCCAGGTACTGGGGCCTTGGAGAAAATTAGCATGGGTTTGTAGGGTGCAAATTGGAGGTACTTTGCAAGTTCCGTCCTAACAGCGTCTCAAAGCGTAGGTGCCGCACAAAGATGTTTTGACATTATTGATGCGTGCAATGAACCAGATTATTGCCTGACAAGTCAACTAGGAGGGTCAGTCACCTTCAACCCAATCCGTGGTATATTGTTGTCTGTAAACAATCTTGCCACCCACTCCCCCCCCCCAAGGTACAAACCTCAAGCAATGCCTCCTCGAGGCTTTGCCGTGGGCATGAATGAGAATTGCACATCCATGACCTTTACTTTACTACCTGAAGGAGGTTGGCCGCGCAGGAGAAGCAGTTCACATCTGACACAGAGCAGCACGTGACCAATGCGTGACATTGATACCAGCAAGCAACCAGGGTCTGCAAACCTGCAGTCTTTGCACAACACCGTCATCACATAAGTCTCCTCTTTCCCGTTCGTTGGAACAGAAAGGCTCTCCTGTGGGAACAAGACAGGTTTCTACGCTTGGAGGGATTCTTCATCTCATACTTCCCAGTTGTTTGTATACATTGACCGATAGCTGGGGGGTCCCACCCTCCATGAGTGTCCTCCAGATTCATCCGAAGTTCACCTTTACCACCCCTCCATTAGTCCGGTTCAGATTCCGAAAATTGATATGAGTTTGTGTCAAAATACGGGGATCCCCAAAATAGCAGCTTCCTTTCGAAATGCTTGGACCCTATCATTAAAGGATGTGTAACATGATATTGGCAACTGGGGGCCATGGGTTACTAATTATTGGTTGATTTTGGTTCTCCAGGCTCCGTTCGCCACTTTTGGGGGAAAAGATTGGGGAGGAATCCTATGAGGAACAAATCTGGTCTCCCCCCCCCGTTCTTGGATTAGTCCCGAGTCCCCAAGCAAAGCTACCACTATTTCCCTTGTACCTACAGGAAAGGTGTTCCAATGACAATATTGGTTTGTCCGACAGCCATTTGAGTTGCCTTTTTCAAGTGGGACCGTGGTAAACCCACCAGAGAATTTTGCTAACATGGAAATCTTGGCATTTTGCAAGAGGAATCCTAGACTTCAGAGCCCAACATGTTGGGAAGCCACCCTCTTGAACAAAAATGTAGAGGTGCTCATGGCTTGAAAGTTGGACTCCGCGGGTTGGACAACGTGAAACCAATGGACTCCATGGCCATGGATTTTCAACGGGCTCTGGGAGCTCGCAAACTTATGTCACTTACGTCGCAAGAGAACTGCAAAGGCTCGCAAGGCGTCGGCGAAACGTTTGTATGCACCCCAAAGTTTTTAAATCCATGGTCTCGGGAACCTTGAAATTCTGGGTGTGGTTTTGGACTTTAGATCAACTTAGATTTCCCCGAAGCAGCGGTCTTGGGCGTCCGTTCGCCTTGGTGTGGTACTGGATGACGGTTGGCCGATGCGCAACGCTGAGAAAGCCGATGTTCCTTTTCCTTGGTAGCGGATAGGCATACCGCAGATGGCGAGGGCGGGTGTCTCTGTTGAGGGTGCCATTCGCCTTGCGTCAGGGAATCGCAGGGACAACTCATTGAAAGGGCTCTGACATCTCTCAAATGTCGAAGCAAATGCGAAACTAAACCATGTGCCTCGGAGCTGTCAATGGGAGTCATTTCGGCACACACTCAAATGGCTTGGATATCAATATCAACTTCAACAGTTCCTTAAAGGATACATCCAGAAATTACCAGCTGGCACAGGCGATTTCTGAGCCGGCCCAAACGTTAGAGGGACCCTGTTCGATGAGCGGGTTAACAGTGCAAGCAAGGATGGCAGCATATCCCCAGTACACATTGCCCTAAGGTGGGGCCGGCTTTGAATGGGAAAGTTGTGGGTGGGCCCCGGGCCCGCTTCTCTCCCGATACATTTCTCAGTCACGTGGAAGCCCGAATACGGGGACGCGTGAACTGGACTCTCCTGCCACGTAACGGGTGCCTGTGGGGTGCCGCGCGGCATATCAATTCGCCGGTTCGACCATGGCTTGCAGCGCAGAAAGGAGACGCTTTTGGAACCCATGCCAAGGACGTCAAAGGGACCCCCTTTTGATCTTTTGGAAGAACAAACAGAAGGAAACCGAAAGGAAATTTGATATACCCTTCTGAGTCCGGGCATGGAAGGGTCCACAACCCAGGTCATAAACAGTCCCTTCCAACATCACCACTAGAAACATAAGGGTCACAAAACATGTCAAAGGGACATGTATGTCTCAACCCCCTGTTTTGGAGTCTAAAGGAAACCAGCAATGAACGTACATATTACATATTCATACAACTCCGGTGTCACTGAACAGCACCCCACTGAAAAAGGGAGACCCACTTGCCCAGCGGCTTTTCCATGGGAAAAGAAACAAACAGTGGCCAGATTTGTCTGGTCGGATTTGTTGTCGGGTACCGCACAAAGAATGCGCATCTGCGGGTTAACGATTTTTGTGTTTTTTCCGATTGATTTCTTCGGTCCTGAAGGTTCCCTGCGCGTCACCGCAGCAAGTTTGATAAGGGATGTCTGAGGAGTAGGCAAAGGGAAATATTGGGGCCCCTGCCGTTCGCCCCGGTGAAACATCACCCAACCAGGCTCCGGACTGGATGGTCTGATAAATCTTCATTTCCTGGGCGGCGTGGCTTCTCTCCTGTTGCCGACATGGCCCAAGGCGCTCACTCACAGCGGACACACTTCACCAGACTCATGCATCTGCAACGTGTTTTTCTCAAGCCCCGGATTCCGTGATATGTGAGGCGGGCCTCCCTGCGCCAAACATCTAACCCCGTGGCTCCAAAACCGATAGTTTTGAATTGATCGAAGGGGCGACTTGGTTTCAGAAGAAATGGGTGCCACCAACAAACCAGCCAGCCAACCAGCCGGCCAGGGAACCGGACCGAAGCAACAACCAGCCCTAGAAGAACAAAAAGACTGCAACAAACCTCATCCGTCCCCTGTGCTCCGAGAAAGGCGAACCCGAACCCCACAGCTTCCATCCGCCAAGCCACCCTTGCCGCTAGTTGAAGCTGCAAACTCCTCTTCATTCAGGGACCCGAATCGCATTTAGGGTGGCTTGATCCCTGTTTTTTGGGCAACGCCCGCTGGAAATGAGCGAAACTCGGGCCTGGTCTGTTTGATCTGTCATGCAATCTTCCTTCAAGCCCTAACCCCAAACCCAATCCCCCTAGCCCCCTCAACCCCTTAGCCCACAGCCAACCTCGAATCCCCAACCCACCCAACCCCTGCTCCCTTCAACCCCAGTGTCCCTCTGCCCCTAGGATTTAAAATCCCAGCCTCGGCAAGTTGAGACACCAGGATTTGTACACATGGCCTGGAAAACGACCAGGTGTCCACAACACACGGGTAGAAGGACTTGTATCTTTCTCTGCACTTTCCCGAAATCAGCTTGATCTTAAGGGGCTTTCGAGACGTGGTACTTTTGTTCGAGGTTCACGGGAAACACTATGATGGACTCGCTCCGCTCGGGCGGATCTGAAAGGGAACCCAAACTTTCTTGCCCATCCAGGGATGAACAGCCACATATACGTTTGGCATTCCCCCTGGAAACACACAACACAAATGTGTATTGGTCCGCTTTCAAGCAGTCCACGCTAACAATGATTGACTCCCGTCCAGTGGGTTGGCAAGAAAAGGTCAAACATTTGTTTTACCATTATTGTAATAAAAAGAAGACATGTCCAAAATGTTCTAGGTCCTGAAACCGCATAATGTGAGTTAAAACTTGGAGAAGTGCGTTTACTTGCTGCGAGGGTCAGAGGCGGTGTCCATAGATGCGGTGGACTCGTCCAAGACGGCGAAGAAGCCGTGGGAGACATCTCCATGCCTCAGTTTCAACTCCGCTTCTAACACTTCCGGGCCTTAAGACAAGTGGATGTGCTTTTTCTGAGGGCGTCCCGATTTTGGGGTGGCTCCCAAGCAAAATGAAGCACACATGCATGTCAAGATCTTGGGGGTGTCGTTTTTGAGGCCCATCCCAAAGCAGGTCGTGTGACAGGGAAACCAAGGTCATAGGGAAACCCCGTCGAAAGAGGTTGAATGAAGTGACTGCCGCCCCTTGGGCGCGGCAAGTGCAGCATGGATGCTTTGGCATCTACAGTATGCATCTCCCATTGGTTGCAGGCTTTCGCCACTGTGTCCCTTTGCCGACTCCTGGTTTCCAGTGTTTTCCCCTATGGACTGCCCACAACTCCCTTTTGGTGGTCCAAGGATGCCTTTCCCTCGCTGGGTTCTCCGGGCTTCTGGTGCCATTCGGCATGCCAGAACAACCTGCCGGATGGAAAGAGACAGGCGCTAGGCCTCGCTTCCGAAGTGGATTGACCAAAAAAGGGTGAACTTTTGGGTTACCACTAGAATCAGTCATGTCTTTCTCATGTTTTTGTGGGTTGCCACGTCTTTGTTCTCCTGTTGCTCCCAAAAAACATAAATTCCAGGAACTCAGGGAATGAGTCGCAAAGGATGAGACGGCCCCTTGGCACTTGGTTCCAGATTCCTTCGTTCAAGTGAAATGCAAGTCGCAGGAAGCCAAACGAAACTCGATTGACTGGCTGACTGACTGACACACTGAATGACTGACTGGCTGACTGACTGACTGACTGACAAGAAAACTAAAACACACACACACACAGACGCAAACACCCTCATAGACAGCCAACAAGAAGCTAGCTATCAAAACATCCTCCCACATAACGCCAACGCCACAAAAAAACACTACAGTACGCACCAAAGCAATGGCACGCACACACCACATAAAAACACTGACATGTGCTGATCATGGTATTATCATGTTGCCACCATGGGTGCAGTCAGCCGTGCCTGCATGTGCATGTCATCGTAATTGTGTTGACACCATAAATGTGTGTTTATTTACATGCATACTTGTATTCCCAATATTGCATGGTGCAGTCGGCCATGTCTGCATGTGATTGCATTTGTTGTTATGTCGCACCGTAATCATAATCGCAGTCAAACGTGTGAATGCACGTGTTTGTGTTTGATTGCCATATTGCCACAATAATACAGTCAGGCACGCCAGAATTGTGATTGTGGTGATTCCTATTCTTAAGTTGCAATCATGAATGTGACATCAAAAGCAAAACGATTCACAGCGGCGAGAAGTGCCGCCTAGCTTTTACAAGGCAAACTCCTGAACAAACACAGGGTAAACACCACTTGACTCAGAGACCCAGTTGGCCAGGTCGAGTCCAGTCGAGCGCGGATTCCATCTGCCTGCAGAACTGAATTCGTTGCTGCTCGCCCAGGCTTAGGACCTGTCAGGTTGTCGAAAACAACTGCGATGGGGACCTGCTTCAGCTTGGGTTTGAAGGCAAAACCAAACGACGCCCCATTTTGGGGGAGTGTCCGATTTAAAGACAAAGCTATTTGTGTCCCCACCCCCTTGGAAAAGCGTGGGTGCCCCTCCATGCATTAGTTGCCTTGTACCAGAGTGAAACATGTTATCGGAAAGGCTCATTGGGGGTGCTCCCTCCCATACATTCCTTTGGGGGGAAGCGATGCCAATTCGACTCTGCACGATCCCGATTGGGAAATCACTGAGGAGAGGTGTTCTTTTAAATGAGCCACAAGGCGAGTCCTTCTAGCGACAGGAACGTACCCATTTTGCTGCACCTCGCTGGGCGCTTGCCAAGTTCTACTGTCTGCTTGTTGGGCTGCTGGGGGGATTGGCCGTAGGTCGTCTTTGCCAAAAGCAGCATCTGGGAACTTCCCAGGCATGTCACGTTCGACATCTGAGGATATTCCAAACCATGAAGTCCTTACTCTGTCGCATCCAAAAACTATCAATGTCACCAATGCTCAACAAAACATGGATCCCTAGAATCAGCTTTGGGCCATTCAGAATACTGTGCCAGCTGACAAGAAGGATCAGGCCCCAAAAGGCTGTGACTCGAGTTCTTCAAAGGCCTTCCCGCCCCTTCCCTCAAGTTGGTTGCTTCGCCAAAGATCCTCGGTTCTTACTTATTCTTACTTTCGCTTTTGTGTAGTCCTGGTTGACATATTCGCAAACTAGCTGGTTAATTATCGAGTACGTAGCCAAGGCAGAAATTAACCTGTTTCTTCAGGGTCGTACCCTGCAATTCACAAGTTTTGCAGGCTCATGGTACTCTGTCTTTCTTGATTGATTGATTGATTGATTGATTGATTGATTGATTGATTGATGAAACCCTGCGCCTGCTATTCAGCAAGCATCAGGCACTGTCTACTCGCCACTCATTTCGGCACAAGACACACGCCAAGCTAAACTTGCAGCCTACTTTGGCATGGTTTCAATTTGGGTAACCCCCTCTACCTCCCGTTGGGAAGACAAAGAGCAACCAACCACATGTTGGCACCATTCATTTCTTCAAAAGGGTTTGCCGGGCAAAGGAGAAATCAACAACTCAGCGGAAGTGAATCCGTTTTTCACTCCCACAACATGGTGGCTTAGCTTCCCCAAAGCCTTGGACAGTTTCCCAGAATGTGTCTATGGATTGAAAGCTGAACGCCTCCTTATGGAAATGAACCCTCAGCTATTCGCATTCAACATCCGCTTCATGCCAAAAGCGACAATGAGTCAAGGGATGAGGGTCCGTTGGCAATGGCTCGTTTGGGTGTCATTTCGCAGGGTACCATTTTCGAGGTTGGTTCAAAGGGAAACAAGACAAAACCAACAATGTGTTTGGGTTCCAGATCCAATCTGGAGAAAAACATGAACTGGGTCGCCTGGTGGCGGACGGTCACCCCCAAAAAACATGGGCCCTTTTGGAGTTCCAAGAACAAACACACGGGGGTTCATTACTCTTCAAGACCAGCCCATATCAAGGTTGGTTTTGCCTGGACACGAACCCAAAGGCAGTTCCAGAGACAAATCGCAACTTGGCGGTTTTCTCCATGTTTTTTCCCCATACCAAATTGCTTGCGGTTTTCCAAGCAAAACATATACAAATTGGATCCAATTGGGCGGTTTTCTCCGCTCGGACACCCAAGGATTCTCCCTCGCGTCCCCGCGGTGGGTCCAGGTTCCCGGCGTCAGCCCAAGAGATGCCCGGTGTGTCGAGCTCACTACGCCGCTCACTCCACACCTGAGCGGATGAGCGGATGAGCGGGTGAGGGCGGGGAGGGGGGGAGGTCTCAGAGCCCTGATTTCAAGGTCCCTTTTCTATTTGTCCCACTGGGGCCACTGTAGCTTTAGAGCTGAAATTGACGAAGTTGACAGGTGTCGGCACCGATCATTGGGGGCGCAGGCCACATAGATCATTCTTTAAGGGTCGAACACTGGTGCCAAAAAGTACCGCTCCAGGTGCGTCTGGATGGGTCAACACATTCTAGAAACACCTCCACTTAGGGTCAGCCACTTCATTTCATGCACCCTCCAGATTCGTCGAATACAGTTGATTCCCTCCATCTACACCACACCTTCAAGTCCAGTGATCTAAGCGCTTTGGGCGAATCAAGCCCCAGGCGGCGACCAAAAAGGCAAGGCTGGCCCTTGAGGCCCCGGGATGCAAACCTCACCTGCGAATCTCTACAAAACCGTCCCCTTAGAGGAGATGTTTGAACCACTATACTTTCCACCCAGTGGTCCCTGGCTTACTGCTTCGTGACAGCTTGGTGCACTTGTTCAGTCTGCTAGGAATCACTTGAAAGGGACCGGAAAGGGCAAGTGCCCTTTGATTAGTTCAGCGCCCAAAACGACTTGACTTTGGGTTCTACTAACATGGGTTAGCAAGGTTTACGTTGACTGTAACCCAATTAAACAGGTAGTAGAACCACCTGAAACAGCCTCGGGGTATTGGGCGCTGCTTCTTGTTACCTTTGAGAAGATGGTGCCCAACCCCGCCCCCGCCCCCCCCCCCCCCCGCCCCCCGCGCCCCCCGCCCCCACTCCCGTCCGCCTCTTGTGGCAAAACCCCCTTCTGCGCGCCTCGTGGAGGTTGCAGTCAGTGAAAAGCCTCTCCAAGTTGAAGTTGTCCAACCTGCAACGACGAAACCCGTGGGAACAAACGTGCGGTTTCATATCAAATGATGTGGTTTATGACTTAAAGCCACAATGGGTCACTGAATGGGTGCCGTTGTTGTACCAAAAACATGATCCATCCTCTTTTGGCCCTGGTGAACTGGGGAGCTGAGTTGGGCCCTGCATGCCAACCAACCAACCCACCCCGACTTTTTGATTGATAGTTGGAAGTTGCGTGGAAGGGGTGCCGAACCCAACCCCGAACGGTCGGCTTCCTTTGGCCTGCTTCAGCGCAACGCAAGAGAGTCACAAGCTGAAGGATGTCACTTAAATGGACTTACGGGGTCCCCACTTGTAGGAAACCCTCCAAGTGTGCAGGTTTGCGCAAGACGTACTTTTACACGGCTGTCTCAGCGGAATGGTTGCAGTAAAGCAGGCACGGACCACCGAATAGCTCAGGATCCTAAGGTGTGTGCAACCGAGTTCGCTTGGTCGACATCTCTATCACAACCAAGCAAGGTCTCAAGCGACCATGGGATGCCAAACAGTCACGATTGGACAAAGGAGTGGAAGTTGTGGTTCAGTTTGGAGAAGGTAAAAAAAACTCCATGCGAATCTTTGCTTGTGTGCTTCCACCAAGATTGTCAAGCTTTACCCCTTTTTGCAGTCATGGGTTTTGGACGACTTTCCTGTTGGGGCACCTTTCCAATTGG